GGGGGGGAGCTTCTGGGGCTTCTGGTTGTATCTTCTTTTCATGGACAGAGTCACTGTCGGACTGCCAGAACCCTTGACCCAACTTCTCAAATTGCTTCATTGTCCCGAACAATGATAAAATCACTCCAACAAAGAGTTCTATCGATACTTGAGCTGATTTATGAGAAAGTTAGCCCTTGGGATTTTGGTCCCTAAGACCTTGAGGGTCATAGAACAATACCGGGTGCTTCTGTGTTCTCAGAACTCCATGTAGAAACGTTCATTTAAACCTCACCACACAGGTCTCAAACTCAGCGGAAACCCTAGAGCTTCCAACGCTAGGGTTTCAAATAATTAGAAAGCAATTGTCCAACAAGGACCGGAGATGAGCCCAGACTGATATGGAATCAAGACTGACAATGGGCAAGGCTAAGGGAAAGACATCAAGTGGTGACGGCACATCTTTTAAAAATTGGTTTTGTGTGAAGCCTGCTTAATACATAGTTTTCATATAACTTAGCTTTATTTTTAGGGTTGTGTACATGATGACATACGAAGCTACTGCTCTGATCTGGATTTCAGATGAAAATGGTGCCATCTGGTTTGAATAATGGACCAACTGATGATGCCCCATGGGACAATGGGGGGGGGTGGTCAGCGGTAGAATCTTTTACTTCCTCTGGGAGACTGGGGTTTGATTCCTGGCCATGCCACCTCATGCGCAGTCCCTACACCTCTGTCAGTAGAGGTTTGCATGTTGCGTTGATGGTGAACAGGTTTCAGTGGAACGTTCAGACTAAGATACGAAGAAGAAAGGTCTGACAACCTGCTTCCAAAAAGCAGCCATTGAAAATCCCATAACCGTATGATCTGATCCACAGCCCCTCATGGGCATGGTGCAGAGCTGGGCAGGGTTCCTTTTCATTGTACTTGGGGGAGAAAGACGGGACTTTCTACTCCCATGAAGAATGACAGTCTCAGAAAGTCACAGGGGCAGTTCTACCCTGTCCTATAGGGTCACTATGTGTCAGAATGGACTCGATGGCAGTGAGCTTGGGGGTTATGAGTTGAGAGCCAGCTTGATGCCCCCTAATGAGAATAACAGTAGGGGAGCACATCATGAGGCCTCTTGGTGCGGTTCACACTGACAGTATCAGTAGCCTCTGGCAGCTTATGAGAAATACAAATTCTCAGGCTATCCTCAGACTCTTCCAAAGTCTTTGGGGTGAGTCATAGGAATCCCTATTTTAATAAACTCTCTACTTGAGTCTCATGAGCGCTATCATTTGAGAACATTAAAACATGAAGGCAAATATCCACATTTTGGAGCCTGCTGATACCGCATTTAATTACCATGATGGTGACAATATAAAGAGGAGAATAAACATCAGACAAATCATTTTTCAATTCTGTTCAGTGTTTACACATGGTCTACACCCTCTCCATATTGCAATCAGAAAACATGCCCCTGTTAGAGCTTGGGAAGGATTCTCTTAAGAACAGCATAAACAAAACCATTCAGTGGAGCCTACACATTTCCTACCTTGTGACTGTCTAGATAACAGAACAGACACACAGCACACAGAACAGCAGTGAGAAGCACTAGCTAAATGAAATCTCGCCTTGCTACTTTCTCTTTCAGAAAGCACAAACATGCTGGTCAACATGTTTACCCCTTCTCATCAACTCTGCAGATTTCTTCTCAAGGCTGGCCTTTTTCCTCGCAAGTTTCCTCTTTAAGGCTTGTCTTTTTCTCGAAGTGGTTCAATGGCAGCTAGGAGTTGTTGAAATGCGGGACGCTTTTCTGGGAGCTAAAGAAATACCCCAATATTAGTTTATGGATGTTATCATACAAAAACCCTATGAGCATATTTATATTGCAGCTTTTCAGATGCGGAAACACTACAGATATTTCTTTGAGGACCAAGGGCAAAGACGCTGGCACAACCCACCACTCTTTCCATGGTCTTTGTTGGAGAGGTTAGTCAAGGCAATGAGACAGAGAGAATAATTGGAACCCCAAGAATTGGAAGAGAAAAAGTAAGCGTTTCTTTATTGGCATAGGCTATGATTGAAAATCAATGGTAGAACTAGCCCAAGCAGTGAGTGTAGGACATACAATTAACACACAAAATCATCTTCATAGATATCTACAATAACCAATTGGAAGGCTTAGTTGAGAGAAAACACCATTAAAAAATATCAACAACTAAAATAAAACATCTCCCAGAAAGAATCTCCCCAAATGAAGAGAACTTGAACACACATGGCTAAGAATACAACTGTAGATTTGAATACATTGAAAAACATCCCTTGGTCTCACTCGTCACGGAGTCAATGCCAACTCACAGTGACCCTATTAGGGTTTCCGAGACTGTAACTATTTAGGGGAATAGAAATAGAAAGCCTCACCTTTCTCCTTGGGAGAAGCTGGTGGTTTTGAACTGCTGATATTGTAGTTAGGAGCCCAACACATAACCACTACGCCACCAGAGCTCTCTACAAATGTCCTTTTGACATATGAAAAGATGCTCAACCATGCTCGTAAGGAAAGATGTACATATTAGGACTACACTACAATGTGATGTCTCATCTACCAGCAGAGCAAACACTGGAAAGCATGACAGCAGCCTCTGTTGGAGAGGTCGTGGAGCACAGGCCCCTCTCCTCTGACCATGCTAGCAGGACATCAACATCCCTGGAGAGGGCTTCCCAGGCTACTCCCTTTTAAGATAGAAGAAAGGGAAACAAGCAACGCACGCACAGGATGTTTGGGCAAGAAGAAGGTGGAGTAGCTTAAGAAAGTACTCCAAGGGCCATCACAAAGCATTCACATTCCAGGCAGTGATGGAAGTTTAGCGAGTTCGGTTGGTGCAATGGGTAAGCATTCAGCTGCTGATGGAAAGGTTGAAGGTTCAAACCCAGTGAGTCCATGGGAGAAAAGACCTGGCAATCTGCTCCCATAAAGACTGCCCATTGCCATGGAGTCTATTTGACTCATGGTAACCCTATAGGACACAGTAGACTGCTCACTAGGGCTTCTGAGGTTGTAAATCTTTACGGGAGCAGAATGTCTTAGCTTTCCCCCTGAAAGACGCTACGAGATTTGAACCACTGGCATTGTGGTTAGCAGCCCATTTGTGAATGCACTACAGCCCCAAGGCTTGTTCCCTATAAAGATGACAGGCCAAGAAACTCTTCGTTGGAGAGGTTAGCCAAGGCAATGGGACAGAGAGAATAATTCAAACACCAAGAATTGGAAGAGGAAAAGTAAACATATCTCTATTGGCATAGAAGATGATTGAAAATCAGTGGTAGACAGCCGACCCAATGAAGAATTCACAAAGAGAGTAGGCCATACAATTTGATTCCATCAGACAAAGTTGCTGTAAAATGACTGAATGGCACCTAACAAGTTAAGGACACAGCAAGAAAGTACAGTATTCTGGAGTGCTGCAGACAGCAGTTCTCCCACAGCTGGACTCAAGGTTCTGATACAGACAGAAGCCCAAGGACTATTTATGCTGGATGCCTCCATTTATCTCTAGTACCTCACACACCGCTCGGGACGTCGGCACTCTGTAAATAGATCTCTACTACCACCACTGTCCAAACACTTTATAGATGGACGCCTCTGATCCACTCCCTAGGCCTATGAGGTAGTGCACCATTTTATAGGGGGCACAGAGACGTTAGGAAGCTTGTGTGATGAAGGCAGGCTCATCTTAGTCTGGCTTCAGCGTCCATGAGTCCACTCTGCCAATTTGCTTTTGATTCGTGAATGAATGAATGTAGCAGTAGGACCTTCTCTCCATGAAGTGGGACTATATAATGGTTATGAAGCCTAGACTCTTAGGTGCATGCTCTTTAAAAGCCCGCTTGTACTATACCCCACTACTCAAAGTCTACAATGTCTACCTCAACAATGACCCCAAATGAGCAGCCCAGAGCTTGCACTCCTGTCCTTGTCCTTAGCTTGCAAATCTGGACAAGAATGATTCTTCCCGACTTATTCCAAATGGAGCCAGCAACGGCCCCTGCCCAGCACATCAGGCAGTGTTGCATGCTCTTGGCCAGTGGGGTTGCTATGAGTAGGAACTGCTTGGCAACACCGAACAACACGCATACCCTGCTCCTTCCTGTGGGATTCCACAGAGTTGGAATCCACTCAAAGGCATCCAACCACAATAAGACCAGGGCTAGAGACATTTCCATACCGTGCTTGCTTTCAATGACGAACACTTGAGGGCAGGGCCTCAAGGCCATTTCCACTTGCTCTGTGGCAGGTGCTTCCCATCACACACAGCTCTGCCCTGTTGGTGGCACCTGAGGGGGTCCCAGTTGGCCCAGTGGTATACTTGCCTCATGCCAGCAGCTGTACATGATCTGGTAGACGGTGTCAGATGCCAGCTGGGGCCGGTAGAGCCGATGACCCTGAGAGACTTTCACCACCACCTGGGAGTTATCGTACAAGTCGTAGGGCTGCTTCCCCAGGGTGAACACCTCCCACATCAGGATCCCTGCAGCGAGAGTGGAGACAGGAACGGAAAGCAACCAATGTCAGAAGCGATGGGCTGTGGGGCCTGCATTTCCAACAGCAGGACAGAGGTGAGAGCTCCCCAGAGACATGAGTCCTCCATGATAAGGGAGCAGCGTGGGAGTGGGCTCCTGAAACCCAGGGTCCCCATCCCACTCTCTGAGCCCCAGAAGTCTGTCCTTGCTGAGTTATAAAAGGCCAGGGAAGCCACAGAGGCTGCTCCAAGGAGGTGGCTGGTCTCGTTCAGCCTTGGTAGCTGCAGGTAGCCCTGAAAAGTCCACCCAATGGAAATGCAAAGATAAAATCACTGGCAACAGTCACGCTCATTCATAATCTTTTGTGGGTCAGGTGTCCCTAAATGAATCAGATAAAAGCTCTCCCCTGAGGAAAAGGGCAGACTGGCAGTTTTGAATACTGCTTCAGGATTTACACAGTCTCTCAAAGCTGATCCAGGTGAAGAGATGGAGTTCTGGCAGAGATGGACTTTTGAGGTCAGTCAGATGTGGTCTCGGAGTCCCCATTCTGCCACTTCCAGGCTGGGCAAGCTTCTTAACATCTCAGTCTCGGGTGTCCCATCCAAAGAAACGGTTCTATGTATACCTGTCTCATAGCGTCAATAGGAAGCTTAAGCAGTATAAACCGCATTTTGCAATTTTTGTGCTATGGAGTCGATTCTGACACTAAAGGATGTAGCAACTCTGTAAGATAGAGTAGAACTCGCCTGGGCTTTGCTAGCCTCTCATTTTTATGGGAACTGATCTATTGGGTTCAACCCCCAACCTCTGGTTAGCAGTCAAGTGCTTCACCACTGTGTCACCAGGGCTCCTTAGACACAATATTCAGCGCATAGAAGCGAGCCCAAATGTGTCCCAGGCTTGCTTAATGGTGGTCATGGGGAGCTGTTCTGGCTCAGGGAATCTCAACAGGCACCCAGGCCCAAAATTTTGGAAAATCAAAAATATATAAGAAGGAAGAAAGTTATTTGAGAACCATGACTAGGCTTTAAAACAAAACAACACCCCCCCCAAAAAAAAACCCACCACCTTATTGCCATTGAGTTGATTCTGATTCATAGGGACTCTATAGGACAGGTTAGAACTGCCCCTGTGGGTTTCGGAGACTGTATATCTTTATGAGAGCAGTAAGCTTCATCTTTCTCCCTTGGAGCGGCTGGTGACCCCCTAGCCACCAGGCTCCTTATAACTAGGTTACTAACTTCAAAATTTTGTTGACTTACAGAACTATTGGTTTTATGTGAAACGTTTACAATAAGGCAATGACTTCCTGTGTTTGTGTTTAGCAAATATTCTAAAGCAACCATCTAAAAGAATGTTGTTCCTTTTACATCTCTTGCTTTGGAAGGCCAAACACCTATTTCAAGAATGTGATTAGGTCCCTGTGAGGGCACTCATAGTTTGAGATTGGTTGATAACCCAAAGGTTGACAGTTCGAATATACCCAGATGCATTTTAGAAGAACTAGGTCTGCCAATCTGCTTCTGAACAAACGACAGCCCATGAAACACTAAGGAGAGCAGTTCTACTCTAACACACAGGGCTTCCTAAGTCACAAATCAATAGCAAAAACCTAATCAACAATAAGGATCAAAATCCTTGTGATACCTCTCTTTGAGAGTTGCTTTCAGAAGCTCATGTTCATTTTACATAGCCTCATTGGGGACCCATTATTTAAGAATGGATTTATGGTGAAGAAAGCTGATGGTGCCCAGCTATCAAAAAGCATAGCATCTGGGTTTGAAGGT